CATAACAGGCTACATACACGAGCCAGACACTTCCTGAACCTTTGTAGAAGCCGTGTGTAGCAGGACCTTTCAGTCTCGCTCTCCTCTATCATCTTCTGGAAGATTCCCTTCCATCATCATCTGGGATTGCAGACAGCAAAAACTGTACAACAATGTAATGTAAATCAATAATATAAATCAAACAAGTATGGAATAAACTGGCCACGGTCGTTAATTAATAGTAAATATAATATTTCAATCTATTCCATCTAATAAATATTAAACAAAAAAATAATAATATATATATATACACACACACACTATATTGCCAAAAGTATTGGCCCCTCCCCTCCAAATCATTGGATTCAGGTGTTCCGTGACATTTCCTGGCTACTAAATATTCCGCGGTCACCTGTTAATGGTTTAAAGAGACTGTACTTTAAAGACATGGGGGGGGGGAAGCCTGGATAACTACGTAACGACATATGAAGTACAACATTACAGGGTACTTATAAAGCAGGACCTTGGAGCCTCTGTTGAACTTGGCTCTAGTCTGCAACTGTGAAGAGACATGAGGTGTAGGATAAGTGGGGCTCTCGCTTCTGGCTCCAAGTGCCCGGCGCCGAGGACAGTGGCAGGTGGGGAGTTTGACTGGGGCGGTACACCTGTCAAACGGTAATGCAGGTGTCCTAAGGCAAGCTCAGGGAGGACAGAAACCTCCCGTGGAGCAGAAGGCCAAAAGCTCGCTTGATCTTGATTTTCAGTATGAATACAGACCGTAAAATCGGGGCCTCACGATGCTTCTGACTTTTTGGGTTTTAGGCAGGATGTGTCCGAAAAGTTACCACAGTGATAACAAGTGCAAATGTTGTCCACAAGAAGATTTCGATAATGAAATGGAGAACCCTTGCAGTTTTTACAAAGAAACTTATCCTGGACGTTATTCGTGACACGCTTCATGAGGTTCTAAACACACCCGCCTCACCAGCACAGGAAGAGGAGCACCGGACTTTGATAAAAGACTCATCTTTCATCAGTATTAATGTTCTAGGGAAGCTGACACAATCTCAAATTATGAAAGACCATCAGCTCCTGATGGAAATGAAAAAGAAGCAGATCCGAACAAACCTGGAGACCTTACGAAAAGCTGGGCTAGTGGAGGATATAATGGGCTACAATAGTATCCTCACCAACATTTCCAAGGACATCAGAATGAAGCATGAACTGCGTGAGAAAAGAAAAGATGAGACAGAAAGGATGAAGAAGACAATGCATGACTTTAATGCCTGTTACAAGGATCTGCAGGACTGCATAGACCTGTACAAGGAGTATAGGGAAAACTGTCAATACCTTCTTCTGCCAGAAGTTACACCTTGATGGTGAGACCCAGGAGACGGCACACGGACACGGCGAGCTACAGAATGGGAAGAAGATTCAGTACACGGCAAAAGAACTCCTCCGGAGAAGGGTCATCATGTGCACATATGGGGATAAAAAGAAGCTGAAAAGAGAAGTCCTCACCATAGAACCTGCTGGTGGGAACGTGCGATTCCAGCTGGGCAGCAACTTCGTACTTCTCCCACTTCTCGACCTTCTAAATATAAATAATAGAGATAATCCAACCATGAAGATCTTCCACTATAACATTGATGTCAGCTGCTTGTTATTCCTCATGTGCTGCACACATTTCGGGAAATGAGCATAGAGCAGAGAACCATCATCCCCCCACCCACCAACATCAGGTGCCTAACAACATACAAGAGATGTCCTCCATCAAGACACACGAGGATTCACCAAGGCCATGGATAGAAGGAAGACATGAAATGGAGAGAGACCGATGGTCCAGGGAGTATCCAATCCCCTCACGTGGTCAGGTAAGTATACGTGAGAGAGAGCAGGGAAGTCTTCCATCAGCACTGCTTAGTGTGGACGGAGGAATCTCTGATTCTTTCTTCAGCCCAAATATATTCCAATCTATGGCCGACTTTAGGGGTCAGGAAGGAATTTTTCCCCAACAGAGCAATCTCTTCCAAGTTTTTTGGGGCTTTTGCCTTCCTCTGGATCATCTGAAGGTTTAGGGGGTCGGTCTGAAAAGGCCCCCGCCTCTGAGGAGTTAGAGGATAGAGGTCACTGATCTCCCATTGAGAGCAGATAGACCCTCTAAACCGTCAATGATACAGGGAGTATCCGATCGCCTTAAGCCAGCCATACACTTTCTGCCCGGCTTCCCCCTTGAAGGAGCCGGTTAGAAAATCATAGGCCGATCAGTGCTTGCAGCCAATCAGCTACATGCACTACATGCGGCGCGACCGATCCCGGAGAAGCCGGCGGGAGCCCCGGGGAGAGTTCTCTTTTCTTTGTGAAGGGCAGGGCGCCCTGGAATGGGTTCGCCCTGGAATGGGTTCGCCCCGAGAGAGAGGCCCGAGACTTGGAAAGCGTCGCGGTTCCGGCGGCGTCCGGTGAGCTCTCGCCGGCCCTTGAAAATCCGGGGGAGAGGGTTTAAATCTTGCGCCGGGCCGTACCCATATCCGCAGCTGGTCTCCAAGGTGAACAGCCTCTGGCATGTTAGAACAATGTAGGTAAGGGAAGTCAGATCGGTAACTTCGGGATAAGGATTGGCTCTAAGGGCTGGGTCGATCGGGCTGGGCGTGAAGCGGGGCTGAGCACGTGCCGCGGCTGGACGAGGTGCTGCCCCCACCCCCGGGGGGCGAGGCGGGGGGGCGGGGGGAAGCTGGGGAAGTTGGGA